GCGCAGAATAGTGACGATAAGTTGTACGGTTTCCTGCTGCGTTGTAACAAAGCTGCTGAAAGGTTTTAAGACTCTCTGAAGCAGAAATTGGCAAACAAAGTTTTGGATAGCTTCCTATCTTCAACTCTGCACCACTACGTCAAATTAAACGGCTAGTTCTATCAAAATTGAGGTCACATACTCTGTAATTGTTCGGCACCAACATTGGGTCCTTACCAACATTGGTTCCATCGGAAAAAAATTTTGGTTACCAACGTTTTGCAGCCATGAATCAAACATCTAAAAAGAGAGAAAATTATCACTTAGAAGTAGTATAACACGAGATACGTACTGTTCTCAATTTCCAATAATATAAATTATATAAATATGATGATACCCAATAAGATAGAATCCCGATTTAATGTAAGGATTTTCACTTTGTTACCTTGGCTTTCACACATCGGCACACAGCACGAAAAAACCATTTTCTTTAAGCGAGGAAAATTTTAAATTTCTGGTTGCCAAATTATCGAAAGAAAACAAAAACTGTCAAAATTTGTCAAAAATATGATAAGAAGTGAAGTGGAGCAATGTCGCCCCATGTGATAAGATGGTAAAAAGTATGGGATATTTTTTTTTGGAAAAGAAATGTTATTTCATTTTGTACTGGCAGTTATGTCAGCGAGGTACACGACTTTGTTTTAAATTATTGTTTGCAGCTTTTTAAAGTAAATAAACAAAGTATCTTCGATTTTTTTATTTATAAATCTGACAACAGCACAAAACCAGATCGTCGACAGCTGCTCTGCCGTCTGGAGTCGCAAGCTTTTAGCGGAACAAATTGTGCCATAAGAGTTGCACACGCATGGTGCTTCGTCTTTACCCCGACTCATACGCCAAGTCTATAAGTTGTATAAGGGGAGATAGTTTCCAAGAAGTCTCACTTCTTAACACGTGTACGATGCTGCACATAATTTTTTTTTTTTTTTAATTTTTAAGTATTGTTAGTAGCTTGGGCTTGGGAAGTGAAGACGCTGAAGTTGGTGGAACTAATAAATAAAGCCGCGGGATAAAGCCGCGAATCCATGTGTAGATCATAAAAAATATATCCAGTTTCTGTCTTCAAGTATATCGAAAATATTGTTTTGTTGGTCAATATCTTGAATCCATGGCTGCTCTATACAGGTTGACAACGTCAAAATACATGAGATAGGTAGATGGTTTGTTGGGATAATGTTCACTGGTATACTTATTGTTAACTTCCAAATCTGTTTGAACATTGTGAAATTCCCCCTGTTATCCCTTTTCCAATAAACAAAAGCATGTCAACATCAGTTAAAAGATTCAATTTTACATCAGTGATTTCCAGCATACTGTCAAAGGCTAAGCCGGGAGCTTTATAATAATGCAGTGCATCCAACTGATACGTATCCAAACAGACTTTACGAAATTTCCCACATCGACAAGAAGCAAGACGTCTAATCATTGGGTTGATTTGATATTAAAAGTGCCCATACGTTACAGGCATGCATAGTATATTCATCTTTTGAAACAGCCGAGTTGGTGCGGTAACTGAACAATTGTTCTATTGGTGGCAAACTGTTGGCATGTAACTTATCCCAACAGTCAATATACGCATACCGAAATACACCTTTCCTTGTTACCAAATTGAAGTGTGTTTCATCATATATAATACCAAAAGAGAAAACATTTTGCTGGCAAAATTTTCGACTGGTATAAAAGTTTGTTGCTTGGCAATTTCGCGAATGACATTTTTGAAAAAACCACGAGCCGTCAGGCGGATGGTTTTGTCAAAAATTTTATGAGCGAAATTACCAAAAAGCAACAAACTTGAATAAAACCAAGAGAATAATTTTGCCTACATAATTTTTTCTTGAGTGGTATTCGGCTGGACTATTTCACGAGAAAAACAAGCCAAATTTTCATTGGGAAAATTTATTTTCTTTTGGTGACTCTTGTCAAACTCACTAGTTTTATACTCTAATCACACAAAATTTTGTCAGTAGTAATATAACAAGTGAATTGAAAATTATCGATAATTTTTGAGAAATTTGCACGAATGCATTTTCAGTTAAAAACGCATGAGTGCAAATTTGTCAAAAATTATAGATATATTTTCATTGCACGAGTTATATTTTATAAGATAATTTCCTTGTTCAAAACAATCATTATGTTGCTATGTTGTCAATCAACAAATTTGTCAAAAGTTTCATTAAAAAAATAATTTCGAATTTGTAATAATGATGAAAGTATCGAAGACCTTACGCCGATCAATACGGAGAGATCTCAAACGTCAATTTGGAAATATTCTAATCTACTGTATAGAAAGCTGATAATTTGTGTCTAATTTACTGTGTACAAAGCTGATGATAACTCGTTGAGTCAGGTAAAAAATAGCTGAAAAAAATTATCGGCAACTAGCACTTGTGCAAATTATCGATAATTTGCACTTGTGCAAAATTATCGAATGTAATACCACAAGAGGTTTCAGGATTACCGGATAATACTTTTACCTGTCACGAAACGCGTTACGCAGCAACACCACGACTCCGAAGGAGGAGTGGTGTTGCTGGTAACGCTTTGAGTGTCAGGTAAAAGTATTAGGTAATCCTGAAACATCGAGTGGTATTCAAAAGGTTATACAACGAACTAAACTTCAATACTTTATCAATCTTTATAATCATTAATGACAAATTAACAATATTGCCACGAAGCGCGATAATCCCAAAAGGCTTATCACTTTTTAAGCCTCTCGTGTCATATGGGAATAATGTACAGTGAGTTGTATAATCGCTGTAATTCGCTTCCTATTGGTCCAAAATTGCCAGACGCTTCTGTATTTTCACCTGAATATTACCTGAAGGAAATTTTCATATATAATATCACAAGAGAAAACATTTTGCCGGCAAAATTTTCGAACGGTATGAAAGTTTGTTGCTTGGCTATTTCGCGAATGACATGATCACGAGCCGTCAGGCGAGTGATTTTATCAAAAATGTCATGAGCGAAATTGCTGAAACGCAACAAACTTGAATAAAACATTGAGAACAATTTTGCCTACACAATTTTTTCTCGAGTGGTATTCGTCATGACTATATCACGTAAGAATTTGAAAATAAATAGAATGCAAAAATATGAATAAAAACCTCAAATTATAAGAATATCAGTTTGACAATGTCAGAGATAAATACTATATAAACTGTCGAGAATGGAATCTCAGTGTAAATTTTGTTGTCAACAAAATTGAGCCAAGCCAGAGCCATCTACCATATTGTAAACTCACTATTTACTGGTTTTTCATCGACGCTACAGACACCTACTTTACATAGGGCTTCAAAACATTTTTATGATAAATGGCGCCTAAATTTTCAAATAAATCGATTTTTTTTATTTTAATTTCATAAATTCCCTTTTGCACGCCACTGGTGTTGATCATTTTCTATACAAGTCATTCCGTGATGCAATTTAAACGGATTCTGTTATTGTTTAATTAAAGAATCGCTAATTTCAAGAGTAAAACGAAATACCCTAAAATGGCCATATTTCCATAGCAACGCAATGTATCGAAAAAACGGCAAAGACGTCTCGAGGTGTTGACCTAGTGATCGAGTCACCACTAGAAAGAACTTTATTGGACCCTCCATCTTTCCCATATTCTTCGCCAAAAAATGGAAATTTTTCGCCGCCTTACATTCACACCCTGTATAACGAGAAGGAATTTTTAAAAAAACTGTACGACGACACTGACGCATAGACCAAAGATGGCGCTTTGTAACCCTGCCTGATAATCCAAGATCGGTAAAGAAATGTCGAAGTTATAGCAAGTCAAAATTAGGCAATTTTTCGGGTGTCCCACTTCATCTGCCGCTAAGCGGAATGTTAAAATCACCGATTATCATGCAGTTCCAGTTATTCCGGATCAAATTGGATTCAATCTGCTCAAAAAACCTTTCATAATCTTCACTTAGACTATTGGGGTCAAAATACACTACGACAACATTCAAAAATAAATTATGATTTAGATTAATTTGAGTACACAAGGCATCTTGACATTTGACATTATCTTTAGCATCGATACCGCCAAACAAGCCTTAATTGGTAACAAAACTCCTCCACCCTGTTTCTTACCCATTGACAGCCAATCCCTGTCCTTTCTAAAAGTTTACCTGTTGCCAAAGCTAAATTCCGCAGAACCAAACGAATCATCCTACTACGTTTCCGCAAGAGCTATAAAGCAATATTGCCTATTTGACTTCCAATCAAAAATACCTTAATATTTATTTATGCTACACACCTACATTTATAAGGAAAAAGTAATATTTAAAAACGTTGCGCGCACGCCTATGACAGGCAGCATAAAGTTCGAAATGAATGGCGTTATTTCCCCTTGCTCTTCAGAAGTCGTAGTGCTAGATTCGTGAGGCGAACTTAAATATCATAGTCGCATAGAAGACTTTCCACTTTAACGGTAAGCATTTAACTTGGTTTTAATGCCCCTGCAGTTCTGATAAAAAATAAAAGTTTTTTTATCTATGAAGTAATTATATTGTATTGACCCCGATGGAAATTCAGATCAGAAACTGTAGGCGAATGAAGATCGACCAGTGCTGAACCGTCACCCTCAGACAATGCTTGGCTCAGATCAGGATCACTAGCAATGTTCAAAATGAAGAGGTCACTAGAGGGAATGTTGTTGTTATTAAATGCGGCTAATACGTGGTACAGCAAATATAAAGCAAATATTGCAAACGCAAATAAAAAATGGCCAGACATTAAAAAAGATTTTTGTTCAGAATTTGGAGTGATCTCAGCAAATCGAGAACTAAAGCTTCGCCTGATATCTGCAAAACAGAAAGAAAACGAAGATATAAAATCATATTATTACAGAATTCTTAATCTTTGTAATGAGTATGATCCGAATATGACTTTTGACAGGATTTTAGAAAATTTTGAAAATGGGTTACATTCAAATTTACTGACAAATTATTTTTTATTACAAGAAAATCCTCCTTCAAATTTAGAGGATTTAGCAAAATTAGTAAACAGGCTAAGTGAAATTCATAAAATAACCTCGTTAACCAAATCTTTTTCTGAAGTTTTGACTCTTGCCGAACAAGGAAGCTCGAGTAGTCCTTTCAAAGGCAGGCCAAAAAATAATTATTCGCAAAATTTCACACAAAATTCTAATGGCTCAAATCCTACTCGATTTGTAAATAGAACTAATTCCTACTCTAGGAACAAATATAATAATAATTTCAAGAATTCTAAAATCCGTACTCATGATGGTAGGTCAATTTGTTATAATTGTAGGAAAATAGGTCACATGCAAGTTACTTGTAGATTACCTAGGTACAACAACAATCGCACTCCTAGTAATTCTCAAACACCCAGAGCAAGCAACTTTCTAGCTTTAATGGATGTCGAAAATCCTGAACAAAATGATTCTAATTCTAAAAATTGTCGCCCATGCCATTGTCAGTCTCAGCATGAAGCTAATTGTAATAAAATGTCAGAAAATAACCCAAACGATGTAGCGGGGTTAACAACTTTTTCGAACGACACCCCTACACCCTTTGTTACTGAACCCTTCCAACAAGACGATTTAATAAATAATCTCCCCTGTCAAAAAAATTTATTGATTGAAGGAACATACAGTTCAAAACGTATAAGTATTATAATCGATACTGGAGCATTTCAAAATATAGCATCCGCAGAGTATTTTCCAAATTACCAGTCTTTTAAATTAGGAGCTAGATGCTTGGAAACTGCAGATAATCACAAAATTAATGTTTTAGGTTCTGCCATAATAGAAATTTTTCTTGGTAATAGAAAGGTCTCTGTTGAAATTTTAATAATTCATTCGCTCCCACAGCCACTTCTTTTAGGAGTGAAATTTTTACATCAATATGGAGCACTAATAGATTTTTCGGGGAAAATATTACTCTGACTAAAATAGAAGTAACAATTCCTTTCAAGAATACATATTTTGAAAATTATCTGACTTTGCGTGATATGGTTGTTGACAATATATATTACAAAGTATGCATTTTAACAGATACTATAATTAAATTTAATGAAATTAAAGATTTAGAAGTGCAAATTCAGAATTTTTCAGACTCCTTGGAAAATGCTCTCACTCATTATTTTTTTGAATACAATGATTTATTCATAGTGAAGAATGGCTTGAGTATTTTATCGCCACCTTTTATACGTTATAATAAACTCTTTGTTACAATAAAATCAACAAAGCACACTGTTTTAAAACTTTTTGCAGATACTGCACTAGGAAAGTTTATAAACATTTGTCATTTTCATGCTGATGAGATATTGTTTACGAATGAAAAATTAAAAGATAGTACAATAAAGTATAACATAAATACTTGTTTGACCGCGGATAATAAACAAAACCTGGAATATTTTTTAAATAAAAATAAAGATCTGTTGGCTTCATGTTCCAAAGAAGTTGGGTACACAAATTTAATGCAACATGTTATAGATACGGGTATCTCAGAAAGAACGATTTGCAATTAATGATCAAGTAACAGAAATGCTAGAAAATAGTATTGTAAGACCTAGTAATAGTTCGTGGTCTACACCATTTCAACCTCAATTTCGGAAAAAGTAACTTTTATTTAGGAAAATGTAAAGTCATTTTCGGAAAAAGTAAAGTTAATTTCGGAAAAAGTAAATTCAAATTCAGAAAAATTTAATTCAATTTCGGAAAAAGTAAATTCAAATTCGGAAAAACTACATTCAATTACGGAGAAAGTAATGTTATTTTTTAGAATAATTCGAATTGATAAAAAGTAAATTTAGCAATGACTATAAACTATATACCTCCGGTCGAACCCGTATACCCGGAAGGATTCGATTCCAATCAGTGTACTATTATTTTGTAGGTCTGATGATGCTCATATGCGCGAAACACATGTCACTATTGAGAGAATAAAATAATAAACCATCTGTATGTACATGTCAAATGTCAGATTCAAAAAGATAACTATCGAAGTCTATTGATATGTGCCTTTTCAAATGACCTTTTTGTTTACATTTTGCATTGCATATGTTGCATTTAAAATTCTTCTCATCCAAGTGTGTTAGTTTGTGTCTCTTCAAACTGCCTTTTCTTTTAAATTTTGCTTTGCAAATGCTGCATTCAAAATTCTTCTCATCCGAGTGTGTTAATATGTGGCTTTTCAAACTACGTTTGTGTTCAAATTTGGCATTGCATGTGTCACATTTAAAAGGATAAATATCAGAATTTGTTAGTTTGTTTCTCTTCAAACAGTATTTTCCTTTGAACTTTGCTCCGCAAATGTCAGATTCAAAAAGATAACTATCGAAGTCTGTTGATATGTGCCTTCTCCAATTACCTTTTTGTTCAAATTTTGCATTGCATATGTTGCATTTAAAATTCTTCTCATCCAAGGGTGTTAGTTTGTGTCTCTTCAAACTGCCTTTTCTTTTAAATTTTGCCTTGCAAATGTTACATTTAAAATTCTTCTCATCCGAGTGTGTTAATATGTGGGTTTTTAAACTACGTTTGTGTTCAAATTTTGCATTGCATGTATCACATTTGAAATGATAAATATCAGAATGTGTTAGTTTGTGTCTCTTCAAACAGTCTTTTCCTTTGAATTTTGCTCCGCAAATGTCATATTCAAAAAGATAACTATCGAAGTCTGTTGATATGTGCCTTTTCAAATTACCTTTTTGTTCAAATTTTGCATTGCATATGTTGCATTTAAAATTCTTCTCATCCGTGTGTTAGTTTGTGTCTCTTCAAACTGCCTTTTCTTTTAAATTTTGCTTTGCAAATGTTGCATTTAAAATTCTTCTCATCCGATTGTGTTAATATGTGTGCGTTCAAATCACCTTTTCCTTTAAATTTTTTCTTATAGTCCAGGAGGCAGTGAAATTTTTTAGCACTTATTTTTCCAGTTAATGTATATCAAATAGTTTATTCTCTTGGTGATACAAAATAAGAATTTTTGAGTCTAGCTAAAATTTTCGGATGGGTTCACAAGATCGATGAAAAATACAAGTACACCTATTTTCCAAGTCAAAAATATTTCACATTTACTACAATAGAACATAAAGTATATGAAAATAGCAATTTGGCTTATCTCAGATAGTTGAAAGTGAGTCTGGCTGAAAATTTTCGGACTTCAATTTTTCACTCGCCAGACGTATTATCCATACTCACAGATTAACCAAACTATTTTTTTACGTAACTTCAGTATACTTCTCATTAGTAGAGCTATTTTCATCACTGGAAAAAAAAGCGCCATGCATTCGTAACCTCTAACGCATTTTATGCCTCAACCCATCGGAAAACTCCCCCTAAAAATATATGAATTTGGCTTAGAAGTACTAACCCTACAATTATATCCATGTTTCGTGACTGGGAAAATAAGTACCGAAAATCGTCACTGCCTCCTAGACTATTACCAGTGTCACATTTAAAAGGAAAAATATCCGAGAGTGTTGATATGTGATGCTGTAACTCATTTTTTTCCGCTTTGTAAGTGTTACATTCGAAAGGACAAATATCGAAATGTGTTATTAAATGATGTTCCAAATTTGATTTGGTTTTAAATGTAGCATTGCAAGTGTAACACTGAAACTTCCTCATAACATCTTGTCTTGAAAAATTGATGTTACTCGAATGTTCTTTCTCCATATTCCTTTATTTGGATCTATTAAATTCAATATCTGATTCTTCTGTTTCGTTTTTAATGTCATCCTCTATGTATGTACACCATTTCAACCTCAATTTCGGAAAAAGTAACTTTTATTTAGGAAAATGTCAAGTCATTTCCGGAAAAACTCAAATCAATTTCAGAAAAAGTAATGGTAATTTCGGAAAAAGTAAAGTTAATTTCGGAAAAAGTAAATTCAAATTCGGAAAATGTTAATTCATTCATAGCTTACTTTTGCCGAATTTGAATTTACTTTTTCCGAATTTGAATTTACTTTTTCCGAAATTAACTTTACTTTTTCTGAAATTGATTTGACTTTTCCCGAAAATAACTTTTTCTACTGACGTTTCATAATAGCAACTTTTCGATTGTCATTTCAGTTTTGAAACGACATTCTTTTAGGCACTGAGTGCGTGAAAGTTACTTTTAGGCACTCAGTGCGTAAAAGTGACTTTTGAATGCGTAAAAGTGACTTATGAGTGCGTAAAAGTAATTTTTAAGCACTAGTGCCTAAAAGTGTCATTCATTATTCAGAAATAAAAAACACACTAAACACATATTTGAATTTTGTTTTGTATTTATTATGAATATTGAAAATGGAATTACTGAATTGAACGTTTGGGTTACTCAAAACAGAAGTTTGTGTTATTACCTACTTTCTAGGATTTTAATTATTGATGTCGAATTTTGAAAAGAAAATCGCATGAAAAGTGTCAGGTGTTAAGTAAAAGCAGGTAACAAAGATTTTGGGTGTAATCGACTTATTCACATGAAATAAAATTGTGTTTTTTTATTATAAAATGCCAGTAGAGAAAATCTTGTATACAATACGTTACGAAACGATGTCTTTTAGGCACGCGACGTGAAAATTGTCCAACGAGGCAAAGCCGAGTTGGACAACACGTCGAGTGTAACTTATTGTATAAATAGCTATTACATTTTCCTAAATAAAAGTTACTTTTTCCGAAATTGAGGATGAAATGGTGTAGAACCAAGTTAAAGTACAATGATTGAAATCGAACCCGTCAGGGTACGGGTTCGACTGGAGGTTTATACTGTAGTCACTGTAGTCACTGCTAAATTTACTTTTTATCAATTCGAATTATTCTTAAAAATAACATTACTTTCTCCGTAATTGAATGTACTTTTTCCGAATTTGAATTTACTTTTTCCGAATTTGAATTTACTTTTTCCGAAATTAAATTTACTTTTTCTGAAATTGATTTGACTTTTTCCGAAAATGACTTTACATTTTCCTAAATAAAAGTTACTTTTTCCGAAGTTGAGGTTGAAATGGTGTAGTCCGGTTGTTTTAGTTAAAAAACCGGATGGTTCTCATAGATTTTGCGTTGACTATAGAAAATTAAATAATATAACTAAAAAGCAAGTTTATCCATTACCACTGATCGAAAACATATTGTTTTATTTAAATGGAGCAAAATACTTCACGGTTTTAGATATGTTTAGCGGGTTTTGGCAAATAAGTTTAGATGAATCATCAAAGGAGAAAACAGCTTTTATTACACAAGATGGTCTTTATGAATTCCAAGTAATGCCCTTTGGTCTTTGTAATGGGCCTTCAAGCTTTCAAAAGCTGGCTGATAAAGTTTTTGAAGGGTTAAAATGGAATGAAGTACTAATTTATATTGATGACATAATTATTTTTTCAAACACGTTTGAAGAACATTTAATTCGATTAGAACGCGTTTTTGATAGGCTTAGAAAAGCAGGTTTAACTTTAAAACTTGGTAAATGCCACTTTGCTATGGAAATAATAAAAATTTTAGGCCATATTGTATCTAAAGATGGAATTTTACCGGATCTAGATAAAATTCACGCTGTAGAAAAACTTCCCATCCCAAAAACAGTGAAAAAACTTCAATGTTTCCTGGGTATGTTAAACTTTTATAGGAAATTTATCCCAAATTTTTCTCAGATAGCAAAACCATTGCATAGTTTAACAAAGAAAAGTAATACTTTTAAATGGGAAATTGAACATCAAGAAGCTTTTGATCTTTTAAAGTTGAAATTAATTTCGGCTCCACTTTTGGCACATTTTGATCCAAATAAGGACTGTGAATTAAGAATTGATGCATCAAGGAAGGGTTTAGGTGCGATACTTTTACAACAAAATGATTTAGGTGAAATGCATTCTGTTGTTTATCTTTCACGAACGTTATCTAAACCAGAAGGTAATTATAGTTCATCAGAATTAGAGGCGCTCACAGCGGTGTGGAGTTTATCTAAATTACGTTCATTGGTTTACGGACGTCACATTAATATAATTACAGATCACCATGCGTTGTGTTGGTTAAAAACTATTAAAAATTTAAATGGTAGGTTAGCTAGATGGGCTATTAAAATAAGCGATTATAATTACACAATAAAGCATAAGAGTGGAAAATTGCATAGCGATGCAGATTGTCTTTCTCGTAATCCTGTAGATTGTCCAAACTCACTAATAGACGTAGAAGATTACGATTTACCAACTTATCTTCTTGATAGCGATTCAATATCATCCTTACAAAGAAATGACGAAAATCTTATGAAAATTATTGCTTTATTTGATAATCCAACAGATGACAATCTCTCCCTTCTAGAAAGGAAAAGATTAAAATTATATTTAATGATTGATAATGTTCTTTATAGACGAAATCCCAATAATACTGGAAATCTATATCTTTTAGTAGTACCAAACTCTCTAAAAGGAGAAATTCTATTTTCCAATCATAATGAACCTTTAGCGGGTCATTTAGGTTTTCTTAAGACTTTCAATAAGATGAAATATAGATATTATTGGGATGGTATGCAAAAAGAAACTGAAAAATA